TTCTACAGGTTAAGTCCTTATTTGGTTAAGTAAAATGTTTCAGACACCAAATAGTTATCCAGATTGTAACATCTGAATAAAAAAATGATGCGACATGCAGCCGAACTCCTATCTAAACTGTGACGATGAGTTGTGAATAATTCCTAGACCGTTAGACTAGTAAGCAGTAAAATGCTATGTCGATATAAATGCACTAAAAAATAAAACGGGGTTGAGCGTTCATGAGCTATAAACAGTCAGCTTGATGTCAATCAAACAACAACAATGAAACACGTATGTAATTTTATAAACTGTATAGTTTCAAAGTAAATTTTCAAAGTTTATTAGCAGGTTAAAAACCTTTTATTTTATAGCAACATACATTTAGGAATACCGCCTTCTTAGCTGTATTGTGAAATATATTCTTAAAGAACTGTTTCGCATTTTGTAGATTATTAACTCCCTCAACATCTAACTGGGAAAGTGATAGGAAAAATCCAAATAAAATAACTATGCTAGAGCGTAGATACATTTTGTACTTTAAAAAGTTACAAACGCATAATTAAGTAACGACAGTTGACTAAAACATTACATACAACACCCAATGTTCTTACGTCGAACCATTGTGACACATTTCTGATAACCTGTCTTAAATCTATGGATTTCTTACTGTGTGTTTATTGATCTGATAGGATGATTTTACATGTTTATTTGTGATCACTTAAACTTTCTCAGTTTCAACGTTACAATAATCGGATTAAATATGACAAGTATTTCGGTGCTGATATATATGGTTCGCTAGTTCACTTGACTTCCACTATCCAATTTCACTGTGACAAGTTCATATAAATAGACTGATTACCTTGCCCTTACTTCTCGATGTTTTGGTATGGTTATGGTGTTGTCCAATGAGTGGTTATCTAACTGCTTTAATTCTAGTCAGTATGGTAGCTATTGCTGGGTTTTTTTATCTTTTGATCAGAGTGGGTGCGCTTGTATCAGAGAAGTGGGGTTTCTGAATATCAGCAGCAACCACATTACCAGGTAGGAGTACGGTTGGTTGAAATGGAAAAAATAGTAGATAAAAAATTTGAGTTCATAATGGGGCCTTCGTCGTTATTTTGCACGACATCATCAGCACAATCTTCATGTAGGATTCTTCCTAATGATGTTGTGTAGAATAAAGATAAAAGCTCCATGACCTTACCATCCAGCCCACAGAACAAAACCACCGAAATTGATGTCTCTTTTGAAAAGAGAGGACGCAACAATTTCATGATAATGTCCTTTCTAGTCATCATCTAGAGCATTAAATTCGAGTCAAGTACCTCTCAGAGAGCTGGTTATGATTTGTGTTTTAGTTGGAGAACAATGTAACTTTTCTTCTTTGAAATATGTTCCAAGGCAGCAATATCCTCCTAGGATAAAAGGATATAACTTGAGCTTTCATATCTAATGACAATTTGGTTAAACACTGAAAAGATTCGAGTAACTTCAGTGTCAAATTGTTAAGTGTTCTAGAAATAAACATCAAGATTGTCTGGCATATTGGCTGCGAAATGTTAATCGGAAGGGACATCTGAAATGTTACAAGGATTAACGACTAGGTTCTTTCTAATAGTTATAGTGTGATACTAAGTACTACCAGGAGGTACTCCGTGGGTGTAAAGTCAATGCTGTCCACTATTAAAGTTCTATTTTTACAGGTGTTTATAGGAAGAGGTTCTTTAGAAGTCCAGTTGTGTATTGTATATAGGTATTTTAGAGTGTCATGTTTAACCGAGGCCAGATACTCCCTCTCCCAGATTATGAAGTCATAATAATGAGAGTCAAGAGAGTTTGTCAGGTAATTAATAAAAAAATAAATAAGGAGTGATTCGGTGATTGAACCTTGTGTTACTCCATTTGCCACTGAAAATCGGTTTGACAAAGGACTATAAAATCTAGCAGTTTATAATCACTGGTCTTGTAAATCTAAGAACCAATACTTCAAAATCTCGCTCATGTTCATATAAATCAATTTATACGTCTGTATTTATTATTAAATTTTTCGAACACTTTTAGGTATTATAGGAAGCCAAAGTGTGTCGTATAGTTGTATTTCGGTGGTATAACTGATATGTGTCATATGATCTATCAGATAAAGAACCATGGCGCCATCCAGAGAGAACATATCGATTGCCTTTTCGATAACTTTGACTTATGAACAAATCAGGGCAGGCGGTTGATAATTGATTGCTTTCTGTCTACTGCCTCTTATATGTATGAGCACGTGTAGTGGCATTGAGCCCTAACCACATAATCCTTAAAGCTGAACACTAGATAACTGGGAAACCAGATATTCAATATTTAACGTGGGCAAAAACCCAACGATGAAGAATCCACAGGCTTACGATTAAGTCTATTATTAGAGCGGTACTAAGATCATAGTGGACCATAATTCAACATTGGTAAGCTCAACTAAAGAAACGCGATCTATTACTATTAATCCTTATTTCCACTCTATCTTTCTCGATCGATTCTTACTCATGTTAATGCAAATTCTATTTATCCTCTGATCAATGCTCACGTGTATTATGGTATTGTAATATTTATTAGTATTCATAACTTACTATCTCAATCGATAATAATAACTGGTCATCTATAATAATTATCAGCTAAGATGGTTTCTTAATAAGCTTTAATAGCATTTGCATGTTTCAGCGAAATAAACTTGTTTAAACATCAAGCTCTAGCAAATATGAACTGTAAATAACATAAATATATATTGACTAGCAACGTAAGAAAGGACCGAATGGTTGTCTCTACCTAATTCTTCGTATTCTTTCTTCACTTACCATTTCAATCTGTTTTGAACTATGTGCTATCCTGTCATATCCTTTCTTCAGACCACTGCCTACCTAATTTCCAATTTCTGAGTTCCATGGCCAAATAGAGGATACGAATGCTAGAAATCTACGGTAAGTTTGAACTATAAATTTCTTGCAATCGTTTAGACAGTTCACCAGGCAACTATACGAAATGTTATTGTCCTTATTGGGCGATGGACATCGACTGTTCTATAGCCAAATAAAATCCAATTCTATCATGTGGTTGAATTAGTTTTTGACTGATCTTAGCTTTTCAGAAGCTGGATGGTCATGTAGTCGTGATGTAACATGAAATATTGCCGGTAACATGCCGTAATTTTGGTCGCGTTTGGTGTAGTTCATGGTTGTCGATAGTATGGATCGATTATGTGCTTAAATCTGACCAGGAATAACAACCGGAAATGGAAGTTACGAAAACGAATAATGTAGTATTTTCATTGACTGACCTTCGTTTGAGCGTGTCAGTCAGTAGATTATGATGTTGTAGCAGGCCTATACCAATGATTGACATAGGAACATTTGCGGCAACAGAAATGCAATAAATAGGTTTTCGTTAACTCACATTCACATAAATATATCGCTTACCACAAGCGGTGATCGGTTTCTCATTTTCTTCCTGTCAGTTGCGAACCCGTCGTCAGAAATTTCTTGAATGACGTTAACATCTGCACCAGTTTCAACGAGACAGTGAACTTTCGTCACCACATCATTGATATGCAATGGATCGCTATGTTCCCCGGCCACCGTTGTTGTAAACGTGTGCCGGCCTGGAAGTTTCCCGAAGCTTTGTTCGTGTCGGTTCGTTTTGAGCTCAGGAAACTGCAGGGTTTTCTACAATTCGGAGATTAATCGTACTTACTGTGATGCAAGCACCAATCAGGTATGTTTGTCTCTCATGACCTAGAGGCAGATCGCTTCTTTGAAAACCCCTGCGAGGGGTTTGTTGGCGTCTACAGTCATGGTGAATAGTAAGGTAACGTGTCTGAGTACTACTGAGGCCTGTAACGCCATGTTGTGTCATTTGAGGCTTTTCTTTGACAGAATAAACTTCCGACTTAGGAGTTTCGGTGATCTTCATGAGCTGGTTAGCAGATGTAGTTAATTCGTCTACATGGTTATTTTGAAATGAGACGAGCGCTGCATGCATGCTAGAATCGCATCAACTGAAATGAGGGAAGCGAAAGAGTTTTAATGTTAAATAACTTAAAAGCCTGTTCCTCCATGATCAATTTAAAATATACCAATGCACGAGTAAAAAATATTCCGAAGTTTAAAATCAATGTCAAAGTGTGTAAAATGAAAACTAAAAAATGGCGTATGTTATTTCAATAAGGGACAGACACACAGTTTCGGATTAGTGTATCAGATCACGGCGAACTCACCACTGCAGATGCCACAAGTATTCGAAGTTTGACAACGCCTTTAAACGTAACACTTTCATAATCAAAGTATGTCAACTCAGCCAAATCAGAAAGCACAACTGAAGTGGATCGAGGTCATATTTAAAAGGCTATCGATATGCTCGAGAAGCGTTTGAACTAAGCTGACCAACGGTTTCAGGAGAAGCATAAAACAGCGTTATTTGGAGCAAATGATTGATCAGACGCTTTCAGTTAGGTGAGTCTAGTAAAACCGGTGAGGTCAGCATCAATGTCGAAGAAATGAAGAACTATTTATTTTGTGGATATTTTTTACCGCTGCACTCAGAACCTACTACCGAAAGAGTTCCCTCCTCATATTCAGCAGGAAATTAAAAAATCACAGAATCTTATCAGCGAAGAACTAGTGAAGACCGTCATCATCCTGTCTTAATTCACAGATCAGAATCTGTAACTAATTGGAATACTTCAACAGTTTCGATTGCGGCTAATTTGGATTTGACAAGCTTCGAGGTCGTAACCGCAGATTGGGTTCTAAATCGTATTTCTTATTCCTCATACTAACTTACAATAATATCTTGACTCCAGTAAATAGGTAAGTTGCCGCAAATTCACTTGACCGTCGCTTGAAGGTCATCTGTATATTCTGATCAAGTTAACTTCGGCATGACTAGGTTCACTTCGAAATTATAATCCATGTTAATGCCAATCGAAAGCAACGGTCTTTTACATAAACGGACTCAAATTGTTGTCCTCATGATTTGGATCATTACTCAGGATTATTTGTAGACACTTCGTAAAGACCCATTTATTAATTATCACAAATGCTAACATTCATAGCTTGTTAAGTTGGTAAAATATTGCTTCGTAGTCGGTAAAGTTTATCATCTTGCACTAGATATACAATTATCATCTATCATCCTGCCGCCGCTTTAGAATGTGACAATTGTGTTTTTCAGCAGAAATGTCCCTGTCCCTCAACTTGACCCTATTAATCAGTTGTTTCAATAGGTTTGCGTTACTAATTGTCCTTTTCAGAGCAGTTTTCTGTACGTAATTTGTTGAAATAAAGCTACCAAAGTCTTTCAAAAGTTACTGCAAACCTCTAACAATCAATTCTGTTATTATTACATCTGGTTAACTACGATGCACTTACTGTCACAGGACTAGCACATTTACATCCAATTTCTATTAGCTCGTTCAAGAGGTACTTGGCTACAAGCCAGACCGTGTGATAGCTAGCGATACTAACTGGTCCAATGGACCTAAGTTGTTACTAACGCATTCAAACCTGCCTCTTCGTTTCTAAACGTCTCGCACCTTAACCACTAAGCCACCGCTTCGAGAACTAAATTTTCATTCTTTCTACAGTTTGGGGCAACAAAAACTTCAATTCCTCGTCCGCACGATATTTTGACCTATTAGCCTCTACTTAGACACTTCAGTCTCCAGTAAATTTACTCTCATGAAGCCAAAAATTAGGTGTTGATGAACCCCACTCAGTAGTAGTCGTTATATAAAATATTTGTTTCAATAGCGAATGTTTTTCATCGAATTGATGTTTCTGAAACCTGATATCTATGCATATGACCGAAAACAATAATTGTCACAATTAGCTCCATGATCTCAATTATCGATTTATCGCTAAGTAACCATCATGGATCTGAATATATCGGTTTATTTGGTGTTTAGTCTACCAAGCCATATCTCTGACAAACTACGTGTCAAATAGTCGTAATTCGGTTTTATTAGTGTTTGATTATGCTTAACTTCCATATCTTAATATTATAGCGGTTAATATAAGGCTCATTTTCTCCACAAAATCGTTTGAGTTGCTTGTTGATAAATCGCTTCACATTACTCATATCTTGCCACATTTTGCCAACATACCTGATAGTTTTTATTCCAATACATGGAATATTTGCAGCAGCTCAGTTTATATAATTCCTGTGTTTCCAAGTCAAAATAATTTTCAAGAGGTTCATTATTTAATTGTATTACGTTTTTAAGGAGGATCGTAATGGACCAACAGATCTCAATGTTAGACAGCTTTTTTGCCGTAATGTGATACCATGTTAATTAATTTATCAAGGAGATCTTCGATTGGTTAGTTAGATACATAATGTTTTTGTTTTACTCACTTAGCAAGGAAAATGACTGACTTCATTGAAGCGGTATCCAATCCATTGGCACCTGATGTGTTTGTGGGTCATGGTGACTTTACCAATCAGAAACTATCTAATAGTGATTTCCGGAAATTGTTAATGACACCTAAGCCATCAGTACAACCTTCAAAAATTGATGAAGTACACGAAACTGGGACCCGCACCTCTAGTCACCACTTGGAAAGATCCGATCGTATACGCCAAGATCCTAGTCAAACTACTCATCGTAATAAACATAAGATAGGTCATAAGCGTCATCATGTTCGTAGCAAAAAAGATACTCAGAAATCAGATGCTTCTGAATCAACACATCGTTATCGAGATCGTGCAAAAGAGCGACGTGATGGCAAACTAGTTGCTCCAACTGAGGAAGTTGAGGAAGAACGTGAAATGGAAAATGATGATGATACTTTAACTCGTACAGCTGACTATCGTGCTGTCGCACCATCGTCTGCTGCTGGTACTTCACATGCTGAACGTCGTCGAATGCTTATACAGGAATCTAAGTATCTTGGTGGTGATATGGAACATACTCACTTGGTCAAAGGTCTTGATTATGTTCTATTACAAAAAGTTCGTTTGGAAATACAAAATAAAGAAATTGAAGCTGAACAGGCCCTGGATATTGAATTAAATAAACCTGATAAAATGAAAGAAAGTACTAATAATGAAGAAGGCATACAATTTCGTACTCACCTAGCAGCAAGTATATGCAATGTTGTTTTCAATGAAAGTCTCCCCGAACGTAATGAATATTTTCAACCTGGTCGCATGGCTTATCGTATTGAACTGGAAGATGATTCAGTGGATTTCGAAGTACCAGCTACAGTGATTCGTAGCAAATCTGATTGTTTACAAATTGATGGTCGTGGAACTGGTGCAATAACTACCAACGAAATTGTTATTAATAAACTTACTCAAATCTTATCTTATTTACGGGCTGGTAAACGACATGCTAAAAGGGCTAAGCTTAAAGGACGTGTCGCTGACAAATCTGAATTTGATTATGAAGATAATCGACATCTTATTCATAAAATGGCTAGTAAGTTTATTGTTATTAGTTGGTAAAGTTTTTTTCACTACGAATGTGATCCACTGTTTTATTAACTAGAGGATGTTGTTACGTATGAGGATATTAATCATTTCTGAAATAAACGATTACTGTAAACCATTCTATCAGGTATTAATTACAACTCAATTTTATTAAATTCAAAACAATTTAATCCATTTACCAAGTACATTTTCCTATATTCGAATTCAAGCCATATTATATGGAGGCTATTTACTTTACCAAACTTCCCGCAATAGATTAGATGGAGTGAGGTCCGAACTTGTGACCAGATATGTGGATTAATCAGAACTAAACCACTACTTCAAGTGGTAACCACTAAGCTAAATAATTTGCAAATACTTTCCTGGGTGACTGATGACACTCGATAGAAAAACGTGATTATGGACGATTATTGGACAAGTATGTATCAAACCTACAATAATGTCATGCTTTCATCATCCTGCTTTACGGTTAAAGGCGGTAATTGTGATCTGAAGTTTTGATTGATTCTCTGTGCGAGTTGATTGTGTTAGTGAATTAATACAGTACTTAGATCACAGTTACTGACTTAACTTGATCAATCAGGTTACTTACTACAAGCCTGAGCTTATGGATGTTATGGTTTCGAACCCCACCCCGCCTCACCACTAACATTCACATCTAAAATGTACCTCAAAGACAAGTGCGTGAATATATACCTCGTAAATGACTCACTTAATATTCTTGTTTGTGTATCGTGTAGTCTTGGTGACTATTAGAGTGTTTTTTTGAAATGTAAATTTATTTAGGTAATATCTATATGTTATTGAATGGCTAATTGCGAGCTTTTGTAGTCAATTTTGAGTCATACACTTTTTGATTGCTCAAACTAAATTAGTTGAAAATCTAGCGTGGGACCTGATAAGAAAATGTTCACTGATTCACCCACCCAGACTGCTGCATCACAACAACTTTAGTAGTTATCCATATTACCCATATCAATCAGCTCTTCTCTCCCTCTCTTTAAGCTCGATTTGTGTATACAGGTACACACTTCTAATGAATTTGACCGTGAGTAACATCTATACTAAGCGTTTCATACATGAATCCGTTTGTTCTTGGCTAAGATTTCTTATAGAAGTCACCGTTTTTAATAGTTCAAATGTTATAAATAACTACTAAAACACAGTTAAAAGGTAATTAAAGCGAAGAAATATCTTTACAGTTATTTCTCCACCCAGATTCTGCTAATAAGTATTTATTTATTTATTTATTTTAACACATAGGTATTAGTACAAGAAGGCACCAAATACATATGCGCCACACGAATCTCAATTGATTTGTGTGAGGGCTGTGATACTGCCCGGGTGCCCAAACCGAAGCAGGGCTAATAATAGTAATAATAATGAAATAGGACCAATTAAGTAGTAGCGATACATTTTAGCTAGAGATGGATGGTAGCTAGCAGCGGAATTCAGGACGAGCATTTCATCATATTCTGGGACTCGTCAGCTAAATGTACCTGTATCCCAGAGTTGATGTTCCTTTCAGCAGTGGAACCCAGTACCGTTCGCTTCAAACACCATCGCGTTATCCACTTAGCTACTGAGTCCAGATCGCCACTAGCTTGTGTAATGGAGTGCACATATGCTAATAAGAGACTGATCAACTGCAGCTCTAAGCATCAATGGGAAGATCCAAACAAACAACAAGAAATAAATTAAAAATCCACCCCGTTGCACAAGCTAGTGTCTATTTAGACTCGGTAGCTAAGTGAATAACACGATGGCGTTTGAAGCGAACGGTACTATGTTTGAGTCCTATAGTGGATATCAACTGTGAATTGTGGGCACATCCAGCTCACGAGTTCCAAATAGAACGAAACGCGCGTTCTGGATTCAACCACCAACATCTCAGCTTAAAATGCTTGTGACTGAAAGCAATATCGAGGCAATCCGCATAGGATGCACATATGCCAATAAGAGACTAATCAATTGCAGCGCCGAACATCAGTGGGAAGACTCAAACAACCAATACAAAAAACGAGTTACATTTTGATGTCACAATTTTTCTTAATTATGAAAATAATGTTTAATGGTAAGCTAAGTAATTGAAAGAATCAAAGTAACTATTCATAAAAAATAAAAATATAGTTCAATAATTGACAGATTATATACTCCAACGACAGACGCTGACAAAATGCTGTCTTCTGACCACCGTAAGCAACAATGCAAGCATATTTACGTTATAATTCCCCCCTCCAAATGAAAAATGTTGTTTCAGGACTTGGTTGTATCAGTACCTGAATTAATAATAGGGAGTGAAGTCGTTAAGTGTCCCTACTGTTTCACTTATCTTGTGAATCCCATCATTCGTGATAGGTGGTTGGTGTCTGACGAAAACTCGGTTGGCGTTTACCAAATTGAATAATCTATAGCGTTGGCAATATATTCACCTGGAAACCAAAGCGCGGGTTTACTACGGAATGGTTTGCTTGGTTTCAGTTCATGGGTTTGAAACATGTCTATTAAGAATAGAGGATATATTGTGATGGGTGGTGTTCAGAATCTGATCCTGATACACGGCGTGCTACTCACTGACCCCCAACTGACTACTTGAGCGAGAACACAAGAATGAGCGATAAAGTGTATTGGGCTACCGAATAAAATGCACGAATACTCATTCATATATATACCACTTCAATTCTTAGAAAATTGATCATTTTCCTAGCCAATGAAGTGCGCTGGTCGTTTAGGTCGCTTCTGATTGTCGTCGACTGACCTCATTAGGCTACTTCTGACTGGCTCTTCATATCAGTATATTTGTAGTTTACCAGTCTTTCACCATATCGTCGAAGAACCTCTCGTTTATTTTGGGACCGCCGAGTAAGCATTGTCGAGGTTAGGGATAAAGTACTAGGTAACAATTACAAACCTGTTGATGATATGGCAAATCTTCAACTGAGATAGTTGAAACATGTGTTACGTATTTCCAGCCACTTCCCACCTCAACAGGTAATGTTGTCAGGTGTAGTAGGCTGAAAGAAAGGTAGGAGCGACCGAACCAAAACATGGAACCAGTCCATGACATCTCGGACAATTTAACTGAGCCACGTAGATAGCTGTAGACTACTATGATAATAATTAGTGTTATTACCAAGAAATTAAAAAAATAATATATTGTATCGGTGTATTTGTGTGTTGTGTTGAATTAACCTGATGCGCATATATATTCTATGTTGGTTACCGTAACCTGCTTCGGTTTGGGCACCCGAGCAGTATCACAGCCCTTACACAAATCAAATGAGGTTTGTGTGGCACATATGTATTTGGTGCCTCCTTGTACCAATATCTGTGTTCAAATAAAGTAAAATAAATAAAATATGTTGGTTACCGTGCACATTATTGACTGAGATTCTTTAATACGAAATATGGATATTAGCGAATTATCTTGATATGAAGCTAACTTAATAACAGCTACACAATAATTTAGACCAATATAAAATTTATGTAAGAACACAGAAATGAGAGGAATTTAAAGTTTTTTTTGAAGATATTTTTACGCAAGTTGTGGTGGAAACAATGTATTGCTTTGATTCACTCTAGTTTTTGCCATGAATTGTACAATTTACTCATAGTTTAAGCTTTATTTTGCCATTTGAAATGGGTTTTTTTCCAATTAACCTATGCAAATCATATTTGTGTGTTGTAAAATTTATTTATTATTTATTTGAACACATAAATATTGGTACAGGGGGGCACCAAATATATATGCGCCACACAATATATGTGTTGTAAAATCTGTACCTTGTTTGAAGTTGAGTGAAATCGATTCAAGTTTTTATAAATCTCTCAAATGTAGTCTCTTTCTTACTTTAATTATTCTTTTAAAATACTTGTTATGTGGTCGAAAGTACGTTCGTACAAGTTTGGGTTCCTGTTGTTGAGTTGATTTAGTTGGTACTAATGGGGTTGTGTAAACCAAGGCAACTGTAAAAAAGATTTAGGTTTCACAAAGTATTAGTCAAGAAATCCATGGTTCTAACCACGATAAAGCAATTTCAGTCATTGAAAGTAAGATATATGATCAGGAATTCTAACAGAAGTATCCATTTTCCTAATACCGAAGAAATACATTCAAAGGTAGACTTAATACACCGTTTAATCTACCGTCAAAATGCATAACAAAAACTTGGAAGATGATTTTTGTTGTTCAAAAGTCCCAGATAAATTGAAATGGTCTCAATTGTCAAGTATATTTGGTAAATATGAAGCAACGATCATTTAGCAGTCATGGTACTCTGGTTTCAGTTAATTACACATCATCATTCCGAACTACGCTCCGTGCACTTTGGTCCGACCAAATAATAGATAATATCCGCGCAAAATCTGCGACCAGTGGTTCAAAACTTTGGATAATATAGGTCAGAATTGTTCACAGTAGCGCAGGTGTATTCACTCGTTGTCTCCTTTTAGATGTTAAGTTTCCTAATTATCTTTTCTTTAAAAAATCATTCAACGAATCCATATTTTCTCTTGAATCTTGTCTTCTATTCCTAATCTTTTCCACTACCATTATTACTGCTAATTGTAGTAATCTGGTATCTCTATTGTGATATAGTGCAGCGACTTGAACCAATGCATATATATATACCCAGTTCTGCGTTGCGTATGATTGACGGGGTAGCAGCAGCAAACCTTACATAAAATAGTCTGTGGCTAGCAAAACGAAGTTCATGAACTTGTATATCATTACCAGTATATTTTCATAAGAGGACGAAAATTATCAGAACTATACTATAAGTTGGCACAACACATTTCGGTCAATCTGATCACACACATACTTGTTAAGAACCAACTTTTGGTCACCGGCTTCCATGGGACTGCATCTCCTCATGATGCTCCACTGCCTTGTGGACTAGACCTTTAGGTCAAAGGCTCGGGGTGTGGCCCCCTAAGAAAACCACCTGCTTCGGTCTGGGCGCCCGGGCAGCATCTCAGCCCACACACTAA